CCCGTGGGCTGTGTCTGGTACCAGGGGGGGCTTTTGGGGCGGCTCTGGGCGTGGGGGTCACTCCTGCCCTGAGTCTCGGGGGGGTCTTTTGGAGATAATGAATGGTGTTAAGAGCTGTGGGGATTTCTCTGTCCCTGGAGAGGGAGATGGAGGAATTGTGGCAGGGAAGGTGACGGAGGGTGCCCAGGGACCCCCAGGACTTGTGCCCTGATGCTCTCAGAGCCCATCCCTCGGGGGCACAGGCGACCAGCCCTCTCCTGGCCCAGGACCTGGCTCTCAGCACCCCCAGGAAAAGCAGCCTGAAGAAACCTCTTGTCACCTCCTCGCTCAAGAGACAAGGTGAGTCCTGGCCGTGCAGCTCAGGATGCTCGGGGACAGGACATTTGCTTTGTGCCACCGTCACCCCTGCAGAGGGGACAGCCAAGCCCTCTCCATGTCACTGGCTCTAGGAGGTGACAATTGGGCTTGGGGTGGCCAGCGTGGCTCTGGCTGGCTGTAAACATGGTTGTTGTTAAGGGAGGACGATGCCAGTGTCCTCCGGGGGTGGCTCTTTGGTGGCTTTTTGGTGCCACGAGCTCAAAGGAGTTGGTTTGTGGTGGAGCCATGAGCTGGTCTGTGGAGTTAATTATCTCCTAATGTCATTAAGTGCTTTCCTGGATGAAATAATTAGGTGAACGGGGTCAGGCAAAGTTGTGAGTTGGTTTCTGCTGATTTTTATTTTGCTGCTGCTGGTGTTTGCAGCATCTCTTAAAGTTGTAGAGACTTCTTGTGGCCAGAATGGCTGTGGTTTCCAGTGGCAAATCCTTGCTGGAAGCAGGGTCTGGTGAGGAGGGGGTGGGAACTGGGGGACACCCCAGTTGGGGTGGTTGTGGGCAGGGATGTAGTAACTGGTGTCTCTGAGCAGATGGCTGTGCCTTTACATGCCTTTATGTGCGTCCAGTTTTGGGCCCCTCGCTCCAAGCCAGACCTTGAGGGGCTGGAGCGTGTCCAGAGAAGGGCAGCAGAGCTGGTGAGGGGGCTGGAGCACAAGGATCTGGGGTTTTAGGAGCAGGTTGCTGTAATTTAGGAGTAAAATGTGTGGGTCAAACAGGGAATACTGGCCCAGAGCTGGCCACAGACCATTCCTGTGGAGTTGCAAGTCACTGAGAGGGTCTGGTGGCCAGGAGCCTCCTGGATTGGGCTCTGAACTGGAATTCTAGGGCTCATTGGGTTAGGAGAGGCCCTAGATTAATCGAAGGGTCTGGGTTGCATTGGGAAGATGCAGGTTATTATCCTCTGGGTCTTGGCAGAAACTAAGAGGGTTGAGCTCCTGTTTGGGGCTTGGACTGAGTCTTGTTTGGGGCTTTAAAGCCTTTGGTTTGGGTTATCTTAAGTGTCTAGAAGGTGCTCAGGATTGGAGAGCACAGTAATAGGGGATGCCAGTGTCTGACTATTATTATTTCTGGGTTATTATTCCTGTTTGGGTTTTTTTTTCTTTCCTGGGTTATTTTTCCAGCCCATTGGGTTTGGCACTTCCCTTGGGTGCCAATGTGGAGTCTGATTCCGATTCTGGTTTTCCTGCTGTTTCTCTCAGAGGCTGTAACCAGCTGCTGGACGAGTCACAGGTGACCTTCACCTTCCCAGGACTGGCCAGTGCCACCAAGTGCATCTGTCAACCCACACACCACCAGTTTGAGGGTAAGGCTTTGGGGACTGGCTGGGGAGAGCCCCTGGGCACGACCCTGCTCCCCTCTGTGCCCAACCTCTGCCGTTCGGCTCTGGGACTGTTGGAGCAGCCAGAGGAGGCCACGGAGATGCTGGGAGGGCTGGAGGGGGGGGTCAGCCTGGAGAAGAGAAGACTCTGGGGAGACCTTAGAGCCCTTTCCTGTCCCTCAAGGGGCTCCAGGAAAGCTGGGGAGGGACTCTGCATCAGGGAGGGGAGCCCCAGGAGGAGGGGGAAGGGTTTGACACTAAAAGAGGTAGGACATTGAGATGTGGGGAAGAACTTCTTTGCTGTGAGGGCGGTGAGAGCCTGGAACAGGTTGCCCAGAGAAGCTGTGGCTGCCCCATCCCTGGAGGGGTTCAAGGGCAGGTTGGAGGGGGCTTGGAGCAACCTGGGCTGGTGGGAGGTGTCCCTGTCCAGGGCAGGGGGTTGGAACTCAATGATCATTAAGGTCCCTTCCACCCTGAACCATTCTGTAACTCTATGAAACAGCCATTAACAGGGAGGAAAGTGTTTTGTCCAACTCAGAGAAAATGTTATTTTGCCCCAGGAAGTTACCAGCTTTGATTTATTTTCTGACTGTGAACTTGATGCTCAGCAGAGGCTGCTGCTGGCATTTACCCCAGAGAAAGGGGAAATTCCCTAAGAGGGTGGCTGATGTTTGAATTCAAACTCCCTGGGGGAAGTGAGATGCCTGATGTGGTGGGAGAGATGTTGGGGAGCCCCTGGGGCTGTGGGGAGCCCTCTGCTCTCCCCCCTAGCCCCCCACACGCTCCAAAGGCAGGGACTGAGCCCTCCCTGTGCATTGCAAGACTTGTGGTTGAGCCAGGGGCAGCAGCTTGTGTTGGGTCTGTACAAACCCTTACTGGGGCTGGACTTCATAAGTCTCTTGGCTACTGGGAGAGCTGGGCAGGTGCTCCCCTGAAGAGAGGGACCCCAAAAATGGCAGAAGGGAAGCAGCTCTTTCCAAGGGACTCTAAGTTTGTCATGTAAAGTAAACACACACGTGTTCTGTCCATCTCCTCCACCTTGGGAGGGGTTGAGTGCAGGAGCCAGGCACAAACACTGGCCTCGGGCAAGCTGCCAGCAGCAGTGGCTACGAGCCACACTTGAGTGGAGTCCATGATCTTAAGTGTATTTTCCAACTTAAGTGAGTCTGTGGTTCTTAAAGACAGTTACATTATCATCCCCCACCAGCAGCATCACAAAGAGTGACCAAAACCCTGCAGGGACACACTGGACCAGGTCCCACCTAGTGCCCCAGAGGAGCTGGGGGGACTGGGGGCTAGTAGAAAGCCAGGGCTGGCTCCCAAGGGGAGACAGTGCTCAGGAAGGGGGATGGAATAGCTCAAGGACCCAGTCCCTGCCCCTCCAAGACTCTTTGTGGTCAAAGGGAATAAAACCAACAGGACAAAGTCAAGCACCAGAGTCTGAATTGAAGAGAACATTTTACTCCAAAGCTGATAAAATGCACTTTTCCAGCCCCCCTGCTGGAGTAGGACAAAGTCAGACCTTGAGCAGGACAGGGATAGGGTTGAGATACTACCCCTTTTTCCCCAGATCTCACCCCACATCTTCTCCTTCCTACCCCCCCCAGGCAAGCCCAAGCTGCTGATGTTCTACATCCAACTTTCTTCGAGGCACTGCAAAGGATCTCCTGTGGCAGCAGAAAGAAGAGGCTGCCCAACTCCACCACCACTGAGACACCTGAGGAAATGCTTGGCACACAGGTAAGGGGAAAAAAACCCCACAGAAACAGCAGGGGCACCAAAATACATAAGATTCCTCACTTCCAGCAGCTTTTCCCCTCCCAGCAGCTCCATGATTGCAGCCCTAGGGCAGGGGACACACAGCCCCCACCTCATCCCCTCTCAGCATTTAGTAGAGAACAGGAGCAGCGTGAGCCAAGGCTGCAGGAATTAAACCCAAGGCAAAGAATTAAACCCAAGTGAGACTTTATTCCCCCATCAGCACCCACCCAGCTCTGATTTAAATGCTGCTATTGAGGCTGAGGGACAGTGACACCCTTCAATGCTGCAAAGTAGCCAGAAGGAAGGCTAAAAAAAAAAACCAGGTTAAAAAGAAATATAAAAATCAGAGTTAAGCTCAGGCTCAGGGCTCTCCAGAAAATTAAATGCCTTGCATCAGGGCTGCAGGAGCCAAGTTGCTGCTTGTGAGGCCTTGGGACCCCCTCCCCGTGTGCCCCCACACACCCCAAGGTGGTCACAGCAGAGACAGAGCAGCTCTCCCCAGCCCAGCACCAGTTGAGTCAATTTATTACCCATTAATTCAATTTATTTGCTATTAATTTATTACCTGTTAATCCCAAGATGAGTCCTGGGGAACAGCAGCCAGCCAAGGACATGGGGCTACCTCCCAGCCCAGGCCAGTAGCCAGACTCTGGAGGGAGAGCTGAGGCCACCAGAGTGAAAACAGAAGGAAAAAAGCAAAGAAAAAGGCCCAAAGCAACCCTTTTTCCCCACAGCTTTTGTCTGCAAGGGCACCCTCCCCCTGGGCACCTTCTCCAAGTACATGTGGCACAGCACCAGCATGTCAAGCAGATCTTTGACACCCCTGAAGATAAGGGAAGGGGGGGTAGGCAGCCCCCTCACCCCCCCAACTGCTTCTCTCCCCCAGCTGCCCTTGGAGATCACTCAGAGCTTCATCCAGAACCAGGACAGGAGCTACGAGCTGTTCCAGAGCCCCAAGATGGAGGTGGAGACCATCACCAAGACCTACAGCCACCTGGAGCAGCAGCCATCCAGCCCCTGGAGCAAAACCTTCCTCAAAGTGGGGGGGGCAAACCAGCCCATCCCCTCCCTTCACAGGCCAAGAGAACCATCTCTCCCAGAAGATTCTCCCCCCCAGTGTGGGACCAGGAGCCTGGAGCAAGACCCCTTTGGGACCTGCAGAATCTGGGGCAGGACCCCCCCCCCCAAAGTGCTGCATAATTCCTCCCTGCTTAGCACTAAGGGGGGGGCCCAGCAAAAAAGAGTCCCCCCCCACTCAGAGACCAGTCCCCAGTGGTAAGGGGATCCCCAGTCCCCCCCCTTCTTCCAACCCCCACTCAGGGGGGCCCCACTCATGAGGGGCTCCCCCCCAGACCCCCACTCAGGGGGGC